TATAAAAATATCAAAAGAGAGAAAACAAGTGATATTTTTACTTGATTCAGAATATTATTTTTTATTTCTAAGTGCTTAATTCTCGATTCTGTTCCCGTTCGCCGGTGCTCGTAAATCTGGTGTGCTACAGATTTAGAGACGTTTGTCGTTGTATCTTTGGGGAAGTTACGCCTTAACCGTTAGCAGCCACACGGGGCGTATTCTTCTTGCAGAAAGAGTTTTTTACTCGCCTCGGCTAAAATCTTTCCGTTTTTCAGTTGTATTTTATTTTTCTGTTCAATTGTAATTTTCTATTTTTAGATTATTTGTAAGAACTGAAAATACACATCAGTTCGTAGGATTCCCGTGTAATTTTGACACCAAATATCCAACATCCTGATCAAGAACTTGTTGAGTGAGGTCGAGCTACTTTTCTTCCTGTCTTGTGCCATGTTGTTGTTGTGGGTTTTGCAAGATCAGGTGTATGAATTGGGAGGGAAATTCTAGTTTTAAAGTTTGCTAGTTTTGAGTTTTTTATATGCTGATTTTTAGTTTCATTATTTTGTAAGGAGGTTCGAGGCAATTGGGCTATGGCGTTTATTAGTTATGTGAGAAATGCGTTGCAATTAATAAAATTTATTGTTTATGTTGCAACTAACAGGCTAAGGGTGAGAAGCCAATGGATCGTCTGCTCATGGAGAAGGCATTGCAACAAGCTCCGCATGAAAAAAGTATAAGATTGAGAAGGTCAGCATCTTTGGTTTCTTGTGGGAAAGCATCTTCACTCACACCGTTTCCCTCATGTATGGAGCTCCTCGTTCGATCGAGCCCCAACAAGGGGAAAGTGAGCCCGTTAGGCATATTGCTGGCGCCGCCTAAGTTTACGTCGTCGTTGTGCCTGCCTTCGCTGCCATTCGCCGTGTCATTGTCCTACTGCTGGCTGCTGTCACCGGCAATGGTGACGCAAGTGATTCCGATTTGGGGATATTTATCGAGTATTTGAGAGTTTAGTTGTAAATGTTTTTATAGATAATTACGCGGAAAAAATGATTTGGGAAATGTTCCACGTCAGCTTAGCCGATGACAAAATATTCCAACTCAACATAGGCTTCATGTGATTGTGATCGAGATTGGACCAAATTGAGTAAAATTTAAGAGTTTGTGGACCGATTTTGTATCCCAATTATTCATTGGGCAAAAAGGAATCAACTCAAATTAGTGGACCAAAAAAATAGAGATGATGAAGGTATTTATAAGGCTGAACTGGCTAGGTCAAAGGTCGAATTGCTAGGACTAGGTCGATCTATAGTGGTATTTCAATTTCAATGGTGGATAAGACACTTCAATATATGGAGTGCACCTTTTTGAAACGATGCATATTGTGAAGCGTTTTGAACATACATGCATTAAATTATTTATTGTCATGCGTCTTTTCTCAACTTCTTCCCACACGCGTAAGAGAATTGTGGACAAATAGGGGGAGTAGTTGATATAGCATAGAGAGCCCGATCCTGAACCTGTGCTCGTGCTGTGCATAACTCGGTTCTAGACCGAAGCTCTCTTAGTTCGATTTAGAGGTGCTAAGTCGAGGTAGGTTCCTGAGGGATATAGGTTGAGTTATCGACCTGGGACCTAGGTGACCTGATACCTCGGCTATCGAGTTGGTATGATGACGTATCTATCTCCGGAGGGTGGCTTCGGGCCAACCTAGCGAGCTGTCAAAGGTGTTAACCGTGTGTCATCTAATGAAGGTAGGATTATGAGGATCCTAAGAATTTGGAATATATATGGTAGAAGATCTACTACAATAAAGTATATTATATATATA